AGGCAATTCACTTGGCCCACTGCTCTTCCCTTCAACATGTTTCTGCTGTTTCCCAGCATCTCTGTCTGAGACAACCACTTCAGCTAAGTGCAGAGATGGCCCTGACTAGAAGGTACCATGTTTCCTTGGCAACAGGGACATGTGGTGAATTTGGTGGCTATATTCCTGCTCATTTGGAGCCATCCATCCATCCAGCCATTCTTTGCAGCTCACCGTGCCTGAAAGCCAAGGTAGGCCATAGTTTAAAAAGAGCTAGAAGCTATGCCTTTTCATTTGTGCTTTAGAGATGGTGCTGAAAACCCAGTACAGATCTCCTCCCACCCAACCTGCATGCTTACAATTTTATTGTAAATTAATGATCCCATAATACATTTGGGGTGGGAACGATAGGAATTGTATTTCAACTTTGGGTTAGGGAAGGCTGCTCTGTGTATTAAGCAAGGAAGATTTTGCATAGTAATAGGCTTTTGTTAATTCAGTGGAGCTATTACTCTAAAGATTTGAATGCATTTTGTACTGGAAGCAGCTGCACCATCAGCTGTTGTGCACTGCCTAGTTAGTTTTGTAATTTCCCATTTATCCAGATCATGAATAAGGAATGAAATGGAACTGTCGAACCCAATCCTATTGAATTGATGGATAGTTGGTGGAAATGAAAGTCTGTTTCCCATCTGTAGAAGAGATAATAAAAAGCCAAATAACAAATTCTGGCAAGATATCAGAAAAAAATTCCTAACAGTTAGAGCAAGATGACAGTCAAACAAGTTGCCTAGAGAGGTTGTAGGCGTCTCCATACTTGAGGCATTCAAGATGAAACTTGAATGCCTCAAGCCATAGGAGTGGGATGGTGTAGGTGACCTGCAACAGCAGGCAGTTGGACCCAATGGCCTTCTTGGCCCTTTCAACTCTACTATTCTATGATTCTGTGATACACGTAGATACTTTTCATCAGTATGGGTAGTTCCCTCATTAACAAAGCTTACATTCCAGCTTGTGCTGCCAACAAAAGTTAAGCAGGACCAAGGAAGCCCACCTTTGTATCAGGTAGAGTGACCTATTTCTGTGGGACTCAAGAAGACATCCTGAACAACCATGAAGTCCACTTCTCCAGTATGTCAGGAGGCAGCAGCCAAGTGGCTTCATTTTGGAGGATTCCAACTCCATTCATAAGAAAGTGCATAGAAACCTCCTGTGATTAGGAATCCTGGTAAAACAGAATCAACTGAATGTAAGGCAGAATCCCTGCATAGGTCTGTAGTAGATGGAGAGAAATAACTTGTTCAGAGGGATATCTATGCTGCTTTTTATATCCCCTTTAAAAGGAAATGTCAGTGCTTCAGAAGGATAATTGAATCACATATTTTAAAAGAATCTTAAACAGATAATCTTTGAGGGCTATATGCCCCGGGGAGTAGTCTTTTGGGAGTCATATGCCAGGAGTGAATGTGGCCAGAATCAACAGTGGTTAGGACTGCCATCCTTTTCTTCTTCTTTTGGACAGAACTCTCTTTTTCCCTCCTCCCCTCCATGATATGATAAGAAGACATTGCTTTTGCCAGTAGCCTAAACTGCTTGTTTGCTGAATAAGCCACATACTGCATGCAGTTGGACTAACAGCTGCAGGTTGCTCATCCCTGAATTAAAATAATATCCAAAGGAAGTGTTTTAAACGACCATAACCATATTGAGAATGAGGAGCTGTCTCATAACACTACAGAAGATACTAAGTAGGTGCCTCTGACAACTGTGCCTCCATTCTGCATTGTGTATTCATTGCAAATGCTTTGTGCATCTAGGAAAAACATCCATTATCCCTACAATAGAAATACAAGTTTGAGGAAAGTCTTGTGAATTGTCTTCAGCAACTGAATAAGAAATAAGTAAGATTCTCTTATTGGAAACTTGGATAGAGATTTGCCCCACTTATCTGTGATTTGCTGGGAAGTCATGAAGGGATAACAGTAGCTGCATATGGACTATTCTTTGAGAGCAGGAATGGAGTGCTACTCCAACAGATCAACTGGGGTTTGGTTCCTGTAGCTTCCTATAGTAGCATGCAATTCTATCAGAGCTTGTTCAGCATCATTAACAGGATTGCTTCGGTGCTAGTCAGCATGCAAGAGCACATGACCCAAGAGCTAAATAGCACATTGTGGAGAACCTAGTGGTGGGCAGTCTGGGAAAGGGAACCAGCGTATCCTGAAGATCAGGTGATAATACAGAGACCTTGACTTTGAGGCTCAGCATTTTGGTGATGAAAAACAATGTCTTGATTCATCACATAAGAAGAAAACAGGGAATCTTTTTCTTAGTTTGTTTGCTTTTTTTAGGGTGTGAGATATTCAGTGGATGACAGTCATATCAGTGTTAGGAATCTGGTAGATCTTCTGATTGTCACCTTTTAAGATCTTCTAGCTTATTGTGTGGATCAGATTAGTACTGCTGAAAAATAAAGGCATCTATGTATGTCCCCCCCCCCCCATAAAAGTAGTTCTCAGACTGCTGTCAATATTTATGGAAGTTATTTCTGATAACTCTGTTTACTAACATATGCAGTTATCCAGTTAAACCTTATTTAGCTCAAATAAACACAGTGGAACCACATCAAAATTAAATGGAGGCTATTCTTGCTTTGTGAACTGAGCTGCATATATAAACTGTACGTTTTCACCTACTCATTCACTATTAAAACAGCTCAAATCACTGATGTCCTATGTGCCAGAAAGCAATTTTAAGCATAAGTTTCCAGTTGATTGAAAATGGGATCAGTTTCAGTTTTACCCTTAGTGTCTTTTTCACATGGGCAAAACCAACCCATTTCACTGTCCAAGATCCTTTCTCTAAGTGATCCCTGTAGAATTCTCTGATTGAAGCAAAAAAAAACAAAAAAACAGAAGTTAGACTTCAAATATGTTCAGATTAATGCATTTCCTATTGCTTATGGTATTCATATTTAGAAAATGGTGTAGCTGCAAGAACAGTGTTTGGGTTGTAATATTTAAACTTGACAGGCAAATGGAAATTGTTAGAAACACCAAAGTCTATTAACACAGGAATAACACAAGGGTTCCTCTTAATGAACATGAGAGCATGGAAATATTAGAAAAGAGAATTTGTTCCATGTTTTATGTAAACCACTGCTCATAAAACATCTCACAGTTCTAAACCTTTCTTTGTAGACTATAGTGTTCGTTCTTTTGGCATGAAAGTGTTACAAACCTATTCAAGGTTGGTTGATTCCTGATATTTAGGATGCTTCCAGAGGACACTTTTTATGGTGCCATCACAATGCCTCATTCATGGGTTGTTATGGGGACATAATTTCCTTCCAGTTACACCCCCCCCCATTTTTCCATTGCTTCTCTCTTTGTTCTCACTACATGAAACCTGTTAAGATAAAGAGACAGAAGTGCTGCACAATGCATCTTAATTCATGGCACTATGAGCCTACCATCTGGAAGCATCTCAAATCAAGGAGAATCTAACCTTTCATCAAACCCAATATTTTATGCACTTATCATGTGTCCATGAGTGATTTTAAAGAAGTAAAAGTTCTGAAATCATAAATGAAATACTCATCATTCTTCCTTCACAAAAGTGCTGTTCAACCTGAAGATGTCCAACTTTCAAGAGCAGATACTGTTTTGATGGATAGATAGAAGACATGCACATATATGAGCATGTCTGTCAGCATCTCTCTCTTGATCTCTCTCACAGACAGATGACAGACAGACCCACACATACACGCATGCACACACACAACTGCCCTAGACCCACAGCTGATATTTCAGATATTCTGTCTGATTGTTCACCTGAAATCAGTGGGCCTTGCTCCCAAGCAATGCATCTACTCTGATAAGAAGTTTTCAGTAAAATCACAGTAACCACTTGGGACTTTCTGCATTAGAAGCATGTGCTGTACCACCAAAGCACAACCCTTTCCCTCCCTTCTTAAGCTCCCAAGTGCCTTGTCCTGTACTCCGAATAAGTTGTCATTTTTGCATCTCTTTATTTCCCTAAAATAACTTTCTGTGTGACTGGGACCAGGCTGACAAATGGGCTCTTTCTCCCTCTGTGAAGGTTATCGGGGAAAAGACCTTATCATCATTTGCACATAGTCCAGCTTCCAAACAGTTCAGGAGTAACTCCACTCTTAGGAAGATAATTGTTCTTTAAGTCCAAGTTAGCAAAGCATTATAGCTTGATGTCTTTAGATATATTTTCCATAGCTTAACTTAGAAATGGAGTGTTAGCTGTTACCACAGACACATTTCAAATCACTGGCAGATTTATAGTGCTTTCCTGCATGAATTTATCAGATTTGTGGTCTTACATCATTTAAGTTATACTTTTTGAGCAGTTTTTGCTTGAATATGTTTTTGCCTTTAGCTATATATCAAGTAAATCATAACTGACTGTGCTGGCACAAAGGAGACTACATTTCTGGATAGAGCGAATGGGATAAGCATATGAAATTAGCAGAATAAAACATAAGTTAATGTGTTTTGGGGTTGGAGGAAATACTATAAGGGACACTGTTTGACTTCGAAATGGTATGGCATTGCATCCTGCAAATAAGCTATGCAGCATGGGATGTTCATAGAGCAATCTATGGTGCACTTGACAGATTATTTGGTTGACCATGGACTGTTCTCTCCTTCACCGTTGATCTTTCTACAGGTATTCCAGGGGACTTCATGGCAGGATCTGTATTATCTTTTCTCCCCTCTGCAACTGGAGCAACTACTTCTGTTGCAGTCACCATAGTCTTTTCTCCTTTTATTGATTCCCCCCACCCCCAGAGATCACTTTTTGTGATCTCTGAAGTGACAGCCGCTGAAAGTCCTTTCAAGGTATCCAAGCAACATAGTTCAGCTGTCACTGGATCAAAATCTTTTTATTATTATTTGTATGTATTTACTAAATACTCTAGATTTCAAGTAATGAACTGCTGGTTCTTGGTATCTTCCATATTTTCAGGTGTTTTCTTTGTGTTTTAGGGGAGCCAGAATTCAAATTTGTTGGGAACATGCATGGAAATGAAGCTGTTGGAAGGGAGCTTCTCATCTTCTTGGCTCAGTACTTGTGCAATGAATATCAGAAGGGAAATGAAACAATAATCAATTTGATCCACAGCACACGGATCCACATCATGCCATCCCTGAATCCAGATGGTTTTGAGAAGGCAGCATCACAGGTATAGAAAGCATGTCTATATAAGCAAATATTTGCATCAAAACAATCTGCTCAGGAAACCACACATTTTCAGCAGTGTGTGTATAAACTATATTTCTCCAGGGGAGGAGGGCTCAAAACAGTGGGACTGAACTGAATAATTTGCAGAAAGTGGTAACTAAAATAATCATTGCCTCAGGGTGTAGTTGCTCTTTTAAGGATGGGGTGAGGGAAATGATTGGTGGCCTGTATGAGTAAATACTTGAAGGAACTGCATTAAAACCTGCCACAGCTAAAAAGAGTTTTGGAAAGATTAAGGTATCATATGTAATTAAGTGATATTAAAGGTGCGTCTGCTATGGAAAATAGCAGTCATGATTCTACTATTGACCCCGGAAAGGTCTCCTGCAGATTAAGGCTTATCATGGCATCACAGTGCATAGCATCTTTCCTCGCCCTTCTCTACCACTTTTCCATCATCATCATCAGCAGCAGGGCATTATGTAGAGTGGATATGGGGAAGTACAATACATCTCAATGTTACGGTATAGAGTATTTACTAGTCAGTGCTATGGTTAGTGAGGAGCCATTTCTGAAGGTAATGCATTTCGTGTACTTACACTAATTATCAGTCTGTTAGTGGACAAAACAGGACAAAGAAATGACTGTGGAACATTACTGATTTACCAGATGTATCGATGTGGGATCATGTCCTGTTGAAGTGATGGCCAATATGAGATGTCTAAACCACCCACTTGTGTTGTTCACATCTATTGCAATTGCAAGAAAAAGAAAAGGAAAAAGGGGAAACTGCATGAATGCATTTTGTACAAAGTAGGTCTTCACATGCATGGAACAATTCTAACCACGCAAGTGAAGCGTTTTGTTTTCAGATCATTTCTGTGAAGAGTTAGAATTGGTTACACTGGTGTGAATGCTATGTCACAATACAGTTTGTTTTTATTTATGTGTGTGTGTGTGTGTGCGCGCGCGCACGCGTGCGTGCATTTCCAATTTGGTCCACATCTTTGTTGAATTTGTAAACCAAAATGGACAAAGAGGGCTTTTCTCCCATGAATGCCTTAACAGAGTAGCACTAGGTAAATGATTTCAAGAGAAACCATGCTGGGTGAAACCAGATGCCCATTTAGTTTGGCTTTCTGGATTGGGGGCCAGTCACCTGCCTGTAGGAAGCCTAAAACAGGCCATGAGTACAATATCACCCTACTAATGTTTCCCAGGAAATCATACACAGTAGGCTCTCAGATTATTCTCTGGTGAAAGATCACTTATGTCTAGATGGGCTACTGCACCGAAACATAACGTGCACCAAGAACAAGGAACCTAACCATCCAGATGCTGTTGAACTTTAACTTCCATCCCTGATCATTGGCCATATTGACAATGATCTATTGAAATTGCAGTTCAACAACATATGGAGGCCACAGGTTTCCCAGCTCTGATGTATATAATGAGCCTTTGTCACTGTCTTCCTGCTTGATATTTATTCATTTCCTCTAATAGACTGTTAGCATTCTACGTGTAATGATATGTGTAAAATATATTAGTTTTCCACCTATCCTCTTTCTGCTCCAGATACATTATATATGTATTTACTCAGTCAACCTAAAATCACTTGCTTAAAGTGAGCCCCAGTTTGGCCTTTGTTTTACTACTAAGCTGAAAGGCCAATTAATTATTGATAAGGGATGTTCAATGTCAGAGCACCCTCTAGTGGTTTTCTTATAAATGTTTTTCTTATAAATGACTTCCGCCTAAACTTGGATTAGCCCAAAGGAAATTACCTTTTTATTTATCTTGCATTTCTTAGTTTGGGAATCAACATTGCCGTCAGACTGTAAGTCCCAAGTAGTTGATGTGTTGGTCTGCCTGTCTGCCTGACATTTTACACCAAAACATTATTTCTAAATTTCAGGGGTTCTACTACCACAAGAAGAGGCAAATACCAGAATATCTGGTTTTTTAATCTACACAACTTTCTTTATTATTGATCTTACTTTTGATATAGCCAGTAGGTTTCTTGGTGTATGTTGCTTGGGGCAATTCTTCCTATTAGGGACCGGTTTACACACATGTCTTCATCACTCTTTGACTTGTACATATAAATTAGCCATTGCAGATTAATCATCATGCATAGAACTTGCTTGTAACCAAAGTCAACTTAAAAAAAATACTATCAATGGTTAAGCATCAGCTTGGATCCAAACTCAGTCCCACTGAGATCCATTAAAATCAATGGGACATATTCATTATGACGCACTGAAATTTCATTAATTATATCCAGCCCTGGCTATCCACTGGCAGAATGGTCTTCCTCTGCCCCCTAAGCCCTCACAATTTGCTTTGAAGGTAGAGGCAAACTTTGGAGCAGATTTGGGGGTGGGGTCAGTAGAAAAAAAAGAAAGGGAAGCTCCATTTCATGAGTAGAAGCTTGCTCACACAATATTGATGTCATAAATATCAGTGGATATCTTCCAAGCAACACACAAACCCTTTTCAACTGTTTCAAAATTATTTGCAACAACACATAAGGAGGTAGAGACCAAAAATGAGCATGCTAGCTCTGTTCTCTTCTGTCTCCATTCTCATTGTCCTCCCACTAATTAGACTGCACATCTGAAACAAGCAGCCTTTTCTTTCCATGGAGTGATGCTACATGATGCAGAATATTCAGTTTTAGAATTCCTGAAGAGGCCTTAAATCGAGATCCAGAACCTCAAGCCTAAATCATCAAATGGTGGAACAGCCCTAAAAGTTGGAATACCTCTGAAAAGCAGGTGCTCATGATTAAAAATAATTGGTTAAAGTTTCCACCCTGCCACAGGTTTGAACTCACCTGATCTCCCCCCCTCCCCCAGCTGCTTTCAGACAATACAAGTGCTGGGCCATTTCTCTGAACCATTGTGGGAATTCTATTGTGCTATTCAGTGGTAATGTCAGAACTGTTCTCTAAGAAAATTTCCTGTTTGCATTTAGCCAGGTGAACTCAAAGACTGGTTTGTTGGCCGAAGTAATGCACAAGGGATAGACCTAAACCGAAACTTCCCTGATCTGGATAGAATAGTCTATGTCAATGAGAAAGAAGGTGGTCCAAACAATCACTTACTGAAAAACCTGAAGAAAGCTGTGGATCAGAACTCAAAGGTAGTAAAAAAAGTTTGTATTTTCTAATGCTGTGCCAAAGGTCTGCTCAGTGTTTCATTGTTTGCTACTTCGCTGAAACTTGGGTACATTTGGGGACTGAGGGTGGAACGTGAAAGAATTTCTGTAAAATTTGGTGGTGATAGGTGGTACTCAGCATGTTATAAATTTTACTGCATGAGTCGCCCAGAGGACTTCATTCACTAAGCTCAAAAAAGAAAGACACACCAGAAAGACATTCAGTGATACAGTTCTGAATCTAAAGCTGTACAAAAATGCTGATATTAGTGGAAAATGTGTTCAAGAAAGGCATCTGGATATTTGTGCAGTGCAAACAAACAAACTTTATTTTTGCAAGCTAATGTGGAAATGGAACAGAATGAACCAGTGCTTGAAAAAGCATGAACACTATAGAAAGCCAAACAGATTAATTTGTCCATCTTTAAACTGACTGATGTGAATATGTTTTTGAAGAGCGTGATTAGTATTTCTCTGCTAGAGTGCTATCAAAGGGGTATACTTAGCCTTCAGTGCATGACAGTGATTGATTTTATTATCTGCAGGCTATTTTTCCATTAGTTGACTTACAATGCAAAATAAAAATCTAATACAATAATAAATCTTCAAATAAAAACTGAGGCCACACAGAAAAGCAGAATAATATGAGAGTGAGACTCAAAGAGCAGAAGCAGTGATATAAAATCACTCAAGGCCAAAAGACCGACAAAATGAAGGTCTAGGTCAACATGAAATGAAAGCAGGGGGGTGGGCAGGAACCACTTTCAAGGTGAGGGAGTTCTATAGTTTGAGTGTTACTTCAGAGGAGACCTTTTCCAAATCACCACCAGCTGGTAGAACAGAGCTAGGCTTTGCTGGATAGCCTCAGCCAACGGGACAGGCTCATGAGTTTAAAATGTATGGTGGAAAGATCTATGGCTTCTTTTGAGTCATGTTATAGGCAGTATCCAACAAATGCTCATAAAACTTGCAGAACCACATACCAATCACTTTGCCAGTGATTGTGCTTTCTGGCGAGAAATGTTACAGTTTCTGTGGTACAAGCCACTGCATTCTAAATGTTAGGAAAACACGATTTCCCAGCAGCAAACGCTTTTTCTTGGAGAAAAACTTCTGGTTCTTATTCAACAAATGAGTAACAACTTTGCAAGGGAAATAAGTAGAAAGGTCCTAAGAGCCAGAAAGGTAGAAAAGTGAGTGGCTTGCATTTCAGCTTTTCATCGTTTCTGCTGTGAAATGCAAAATGGGGTCTGTGGTAAAATCGGTGAGTTCAAACAATTACTGTAGCTGAGTTGATGAACGATGCCATCACTGAGGTGCATGAATCTCTGTAGTTTATCAGGATGAACGGACCCAAATCAGTATATTGCTAATTAAAATTGTGACTGAAATCACCAAGAAAAAAAGGTCAGTGTAAATCATTGATTTAAATCAAATTTCTCATTTCATCATTCATATAATTCCAGAACAAAATAGTTTTGCTAGCTAGTTGCTTGAAGAATGAAAGCATATCCATTTGCAAATGAATGAAGTGTTTATATGACCTAGAGGCATATAGCCAAACTGTTTAGTCATGTAACCCATATATATACCTCATGCACTGAAGAGTTGTATCTGTTTGAAAGCAAAGAAGCTATTTGGCTCTCTCACTATGTATGCAAAGACACAAAACAAATTGTGTCGATTAAGGCTAGGAGCCAGGCAATCATGGAACCTGTTCTGTGAACTCCAGGGGGCGCTAACTTCGGTTTCTTCCCATATGCCATAGCTTGCTGTTTATACACAAAACCAGGCTTTGTGTGATGGACTTGGTGTAAACGCTTTGTTTTTATTCAGTTCAGATTTCATTTAAAACCAAGTTACATTTCAGAAGGAACACTTGGGGGCAATCTTATGCATGGATTGTAGGATTGTACCCTGAATATAACTTAATGTTAAAATATTATTTAAAAATAAGTGGTTTGATTCTTTTAAAAACATTTAAATTAACTTTGTTAAAGTTGTGGTGGAAAAGGCAGGTGCACAGTCCCTCTTGCTCCTACTTCCCTATTTTTCAGAAGGATAGTCTGCTAGTGAGACCAAATTACTTTGTGAATCCTTCCTGAACAGTATGATCCAAGCAGATATGGTGGTGTTCCTGTGGCTCAATTCTGGAAACACAGGCTTTCACTGAACACCTAAAAAAAAGTGTCAGAGAAAGATGCAATTTGGAAAAGAGAAACAATAGGCAAAGGATGTGTGCTTAATCCTTCCTCTTCCCAATGTTTCTCCCCTTCATTCCCCTACCTCGTGTTTCCCCATCTGCAGTCTCAGATGTGTGTTTGCCCTGATTGTGCCTGGATGGAAAAGGAAGTGTGGGATGGGAGGGAGGGAAAGTGTAAATTTAAAAACGCTTCTCCCACTCATCTTTTCTCCACTGCGTCCTGTGATGACCTATGTCTCTTCAGCATCTCAGTGAAGAACCTTCTGGACTGTACTCAGCCCAGGCTGACTGTAGCTGTTTTCTGGGCAGAAAGGCATTTCAGAGGGCTTCCTGTCTAAGTGGAGCATTGCTTAATCAACAACAGCTTCTTGAAATCTGGTGTTCCCTTCCTCTGGTTGGTCCTCTGACCCTTATTTTGTTCTGATCCCAGTTTCTGCCCCATTCTAGACCACTGCTTCCGTCCTAACCCTGAAACTCCCCAGCATCTTTGCCTGTTGTTACTTAGATACTAATTGGAGAACTTGGCCTTTGTAGCATATCTTGTTTGTCCCAGAGGCAGAAAGTGGGGTAAGGCAGAGAAATGTTTTTAGGTTGCTTTATACACATATTAAGGCAAACAATATTTGATAGAATCTATATTCATTGGGGAGCTATCAACCTGTAAAATGCACATTTCCACAAACATTTCTGTCTTGTATCCATACATTATGTCAGGCAATTTGATGGGTACATGCTGAAGATAAAGTATGTTCAGTAGGCCTACCTCATTTTCAGAATAGTTCATCCCAGTGTGAAGTCATAGAAGTTGATGGAGCTATCCTAGGTTGATACTGCTCTAAACAAATAAAAGTGGTGCTTATTACATAGTATTAGCCTACAATATGATTTTTCCACCCTTCTGTAGCTTGCACCTGAAACAAAAGCTGTGATTCACTGGATTATGGATATTTCCTTTGTGCTGTCAGCCAATCTTCACGGTGGGGATCTTGTAGCCAATTACCCTTATGATGAGACACGCACTGGTATGTACAATACAGTAATTCATTCATGTCAAGGGCATAATGTTAGGGAAGGTTCCATTTCTATTTTCAATACTTGTGTGCAAAGTCTTTAGAAAGGCATTTCTGTATGCCCATGACAGCTGATGGAGATGCCAATTGGGCAAGGAAGCGGAGGGGAAAATTCCTGTCTTTCAATAGGTGCATTTCCTGCAGCTCGGCAGGTGGATTATATTGTGATCTAGAGACCCATACCTATGTGCTGCAATGAAAAATCCTTAAAGTGATACATGATTAACGGAAATAACAGTAACCTTTGGTCCATTTCAGGTATCTGTTCTTAAGATGTATTATTTCAGGGAGGAAGAGAGCTATTTCCAAGAAAAATTCATCTTGAGGCATTCACAAATTCGTTTTGAATTCATCTTGGCATCAGAAGTGATAACAAGTCATCTTGTTCTTATCACTTCTGTGATTATTTTAGGCAAAAACAGTACATGCAGTCTTCTTTATTTGAAACATTCTCTTCATAATACTTTACACACCAGCAAAAATAACAGACATACTGTTTCTCATGTGTCCTCCCTGTTCAACACATGTCTTTGTTTTTTTTTTTTTTTCCCTTAGGCAGAGCTCATGAATACAGCCCTAGCCCAGATGATGCTATTTTTCAAAGCTTAGCTCGAAGTTATTCATCCTTTAATCCAGCCATGTCTGATCCAAACAGGCCACCATGTCGCAAGAATGATGACGATAGCAGCTTCATAGATGGGACAACCAATGGTGGTGCTTGGTATAGTGTTCCAGGAGGTTTGTATCAATGCACTGCAACATTAAAGATTTCATTTTTTCTTAGACGATTGTGGCTGCTACAACTACATAGTTTTATAGTAATACACAGAGCACTGCACAGAACAAGAAATAACACAATCCTTGCTCGGAGGACTCTTAATAGCAGCAGCCCAGCTTTGCTTCAGGCAGTCAAGTAAGGAGGGGAAAGCTTGCCCGTACCGGTAAACATCAGGATGCAGCAGTCAGATCTGTGCAAGTGGCTGCAGACTGGCCAGATGCCCGCAACATGGACACAGATTAGTGGCATCATCAGGCACTGCTAGTGAGTCAGCAGCAGTACACTTGTGCAGTGCAGACTGAGGCATCTCCTGCCTTCCTGGTTGCTTTCTAACGTTTGCTAATTCAAACAGCCTTCTCATCCCCAGCACCCCTACCTCTGCATGAATGGCCCAGACGCCCTTCAGCAAATCAACTTGCCAGCCACAACTGGTCCCTTAGTTGCAATTAAAATGTGCAATATCTACAGCTGTCTTCATTTTACCAGTCTCAATGATCACAATGGATTATTGTTCCAACAATACTATACTTAGCTCTTCAGGGATGAGCAATATCTTTGGAGATGAATGTGTCTTCTGAAAGTTCAGCTTTTGAGCATGATGAGAGAAGCAGCCCACAAGTGATAAATGATCTAAACTACTGGCAGCTGGTGGGAGTCCTGCTGTCCATTTCCGTTGGGTTGTTGCCTGTCTTGCTTTGACTTATTTCTTCAGATAGTATTATTGCATCAGATAGTAACCTGATAGTTTGGCTAGCCACAGGTCAAGATATTCATGAACATAGTCCCTGCAACAAAAAAGTTAATATATGTGCAGACATAGGGCAGACATAGAATAGAGCAGAGAAGAGAGAAAGACCAATAATGTCGCTATTGAATAAATATAAGTTTGGAGAGATTGTCCGTGGTAGAGGGCAGGCCAGCCTGATGCCTTCCAAATGTTTTGGACTTGACCAAGTATCAGGAATGCTGGGAGTTGCATTCCAAAATATTTAGAGGGCATGAGATTGTGGGAGGCTGGCACAAGATGACTAAATACGAAGGAGGAGAGGTCTTTTGTGCTTGGAAAGAATTAAGCAAAAGATCATATTTCAACAAGTGCATCTATCCCCCCTCACCATTGCTTGTACGGACTGAAGTTCTCTTTTAATTATCTGCTGTTGAAGAAGCAGAGCACTGGTTTCCTTTCCACTGATCACCCTGCCTGTTCAGATGAATGTGTCTTAAATAATCATTCATACCTCACATTTTGGCCATACCTTGGTGCATCTTCCTATGCCTTTAAATGTCCCTGAACATCGCTAGCCCCTATCCTCTGGAAGCCTCTAAAAGTTGGGGATTAAGGCACACTAATCTGATTCTCCTGTCAGCACAGAAATAGCATCTTCAAGAAGATTGCCTTGACCTGCTGCCAGACTGTGGGTCAGTGACTCTAACCCTGCACAATTGCTGCTGCAGTCCCAGTGAAATCAGGAAGAACTGAGCATCCTAATGGGGTCCAGAGACTGCAGCCTTTTCTTTTGACATGAGCTGGAATTGTAGCCAGGAACTCTCGCAGATTTTACTCATTTGAATTCAGGCCATATTGCTGAACATTGAACCAGCATTAAGGACACAAGTTTTATTAGGGAAAGTGGACACTTGCTGTGCACCTACCACAGACAGAGGAGTGAGACATCTTTCAGTCAATGCTGTGGCACATTATGAAACTAGCAGTGTTTGATAAAGCCAGATAGACTTAACACTTATCCAGAATATGCTTGGATGGAATGATCTTGCCAGTACCATATTCTTTTCAAGTTTTATTCCAAAACAGCAAAATTTAGCACTGATTATTTGTGTAGTGTACTTATTATGAAACGCTGGTGCTTTCATGTGCAGACAAGTTCATCGCATCATAAGGGTTTGCAGGCTAAAGCCTTTTGTCCAATGCACCAGTCTTTAAGGTGCCCTGAGATTTTTGGTTGGCTAAAAATCTATAAGATTTAGCCCTTATGAAAGAATGATGTGCGTGTATCACTTTACTAAAGGTTTTCTCTGCTATGAAGTGTTATCCTAATGATTAAACAATAGCACTGGTTCCACAAATTACTGCTTGTGTGAGTGGTTTTGTTATGTGATCCATGCAATGAAGGAAAAACTCATTCTTTTCATGAACATTTGCAACAGCTATGTTATTTCATTGGAAGCGCTTGACATTCTGGCAGACCGAAGGTGTCCAAAGTGATCAATTCAGAATGCTTACAGCTGAACTCTATGCATAGTTGTTAGCTTTCACATAACTGATAAGCTCTTTGATGAGAAAGGGAAGAGCCTAAATTTAGGCCTGCTTGGCCTCCTTCCTTCCTTGCTGGCTTCTTCTATCTTCCTCTACTTTCAAAGAAAGGCATGGAATTGTGTGCCAAGGTACACAGTATGTGAAGCATTCTAATCCAGCCCTGGAAATTACACACTCAAACAAGTTCATAACATTTTGTGCATTTAGTTCCTGATGCAGAAGTGGGTGCAAGCTCAGAATCCTCCTTACCTTCATTCATCCTCTCCATTTTAATTAGGGAACCTATGTTTTTGATTGATTTATAATGCCTTAAACCCATGAGGCCACAAGTTGTACCATCAAACATATTGTAACATGAACTCTATCAATCTTAAGTATCCTTCCAATCCTTAGCACTGTTAAATTGCCTTTGTTTGAATTGCACTATTAGAAAGAAATGGCTGCTTCAGATTATTTCATAAGGGCTCACAGAAGGTTTTGCCATTATTTGGCTTTCACATGTTTTATTGTACATATAAATAACACAGTTCCTTTTTCATCTGGAAATAAAAGAACTACACCTGGAAGCTGTTTTTGGCTTCTAAAAATAGGACTGCGCAAGCCAAGTTTATCCCAATGGAATATACAAACCAGATGCAATATCAGATTTGGTATGGTCTTTAGACGTAGCTGTGGCTGCCAAGACCTTCATGTATGAAGTTAGCCATTTCAGTTCATTATGTATCGGGCTGTGGTCCAAGAAATGGTAAGCCACCCTGAAAGTGCTCTAAATGGAAGGGTGGTACAAATTTTCCAAACAAGACATAAATGAATATTGACCCTGATTTTCCTATAACATATTTCTGTTTTTCCTGGTTGACTTCAGTGAATCACTTTAGTATAAGAAGAAAAAGCTTGCCCAGTTAGAGATGTAAAATTTCCAGAAATTTTAAATGCATGGAAAAAGCCCATATTCTTTTTTTTAATTTCCTTGAGAGAAATGGAAATTTGGGGGAAAATATATGCCGTACTTATTTTCTTATCTGTTCTTAAGTAATAGTTTAGAAACATTAAATGTAATTTATACATTTCCTGTATTTATTACATTTAATTTATGCATACAAGTAAGTTTTATTCAAATACTGTTTACTCCTAAAGCCAATATTGGAGATGGAGCAGGAAGCTGCTGCACTCTACGGTACAAAGCATGTCTTGAATTTTGGCAGTCAAGAAAAGAGGTAACACAAGAATTATCAATATTACTTGGACTTAGAAACAGTCTGCACAGTCAGCATGATTCAGAAACAGAAAGAACATTACCCAGAAAATCCCTCATGTGGCCATCGGATGACTACAGACACGGGGTCAATTCATACCACATAGCCTGTCAGCCATTGGTTATTTTAACCCACAATGTGCTCTGCTGTGTGATATTTTGAATATACCCCCATTGGGGGTTGCCATGTTGTGCAAACCCAGACACTGAGAGTTGTTTGAGAGTTAAACGATTGTCACTAAGCCCTACAACAAACAGAGGGTTATACTAAGTTCATTGAACCCTCAAATAATTCTCAGTGACCAGTTGCACATGACAGCTTCAATTCCTGAGTGAGGGCTAAGTATTCAAAATGTCACATGGCACACTCCATGGGCTAAACAACCCACAGTAAGCTGACCCTGTTGTGTGAACAAGCCAATGATCCCCCTTTCAAACTGTTTCCAGTGCTCTTAAAAAGAAATAATTTCTTTCTCTGCCATGACAGAAATCTGGCTCCAATATACAAGGACTGTACAAAATTTCCCGTTTTTCCAGTACAGTTTTAAAGAACTATACATAGTTCTTTAAAACAACTTTGAGGGAGTAAATTGTAGCAATACACACACTATTGTAAAAAGCGTTTACTCATTTAAAAAATGAAAATAGTTCATGAGAGAGTTTCTTCACTCCCAATAGTTGCCCCCCAAAATTTCCAAGCTGCTCACCAGAAAAGTTGAAACAAAACACAGTTTCAGTTATTCCCATTTTTATTCTGAGCAGTCACATATCTTTGCTCAGGGTTGGTATAGTTCTCTCCTGGGCACATTAATCTGTGTCTCCCTGAGAATGGCTTTGAATGTTTATGCTATTTTTAGAAATGTATCGACTGTTGCTGGAAAGTGAGGAGACTTAAAAATGCATTGTAGGACACAAAGGTGCTTTGGTGTCACGTGAAAATGACTTAAATCTGTTCCCATTGCAGGTATGCAGGACTTCAACTACCTCAGCAGCAACTGTTTTGAAATCACCATAGAACTTAGCTGTGAAAAATTCCCTCCTGAGGAAACCCTGAAAAGTTATTGGGAGAATAACAAGAATTCACTTATCAATTACATTGAGCAGGTAAAATAAAAGTGCTGCTTTCTAGTGGCCAGAGCCAGCTATTCAAGCTAGTATATAGCACCTGTCCCAACCTGGTGTTGTCCAGGTGTTTGGACCTCAATTCTCATCAGGCCCAGCCAGCATGACTGACAGCCAGAAATTCTGGGGGCTGTAGCCCAAAATATCTGAAGGATGTCAAGTTGGGGAAGGCTGGTATGTGCAGTCATTGTTTGGAGAAAACCCTCTTTTAGGATATAGCCTTCACACACGAGGTTGGAATGGAGATGGGTTTGTTAGCTCCATTCCCTGCACATACCAGCCTTCCCCCATATGTCCGTCTGCAGCAGGGACCTCCCTTTAGCAGTTGAGGCCCATCACATAATTTAGAATCCTGGACAACCATGGAGATCCTGCATGGATTGAGGATGGTCCATGTTGCAGACAATTGCCTTCTACATACAGAAAGCTAGAAGGTTGTGATGGGGGTGGGGTGGAACTCGCATGTTTCCCTGCTGCTGCTTCTCAGTTGTAGTCCTGCTAAGTTTATTTTGATGCCTGAAGAGGGTTAGGATGATTTAAAGGATGCTTATAAATGGAATTACCTTCAATGTTAAAGGTTAACCACAATAAAATGGCAGGGTAACATCACCATGTGGTAATGTTTTTGCTCTCATATACAGTGTAAATTCACCCATAGGAATTTTAGCATGTAATAATAAAGTATATTGCTTAAGGATGGCATGAATTACCCTGCTAGAAACAACATTATGAGATCTAATCTAGACTTTGTATTTGTAGATGTTTTTATTTGAAAAAGAGGCATAATGAAAGATTCTTGGTTTGTTTTATTTTGTAGTTTAATTACAAGCTAGAGAAATTCTGAAAAATTCCACTCTGATGCACTCAGAGTTGCTTGCTAAATAAACCCCTAAGTGAAATAAAAACATCAATTTAGGATTAATTTATTCTAAGAGAAAATGCCAAAGTTTGCTAAATAAAGGTTTCCATTGGCTAAGCCATAGATTCAGTTTATGTAAGACAAAAATGCAGAACATGGCAGATTTTTCCTCCTTTGCTACAAGATAGCTTTCTTACTTATCCTAGGTTACCTTTTCAGAATCCTCACCTGTTGTGAGCCACTAAGGTAAACCAGTGCTCATTAGTACTAGCTAAGCAAAGGGGGAAAACAATGATCTTTCCAAATTTCAGCTGCAAATTGCCACTTTCCGCATTTGTCTTGCAAGTGTTAATCTGCTTCTGTTTCAAAAGACTGGTAGGAGTCAGTATTCAACAGAGCAGTCATACCCTTTCGAAGTTGCTGGATCGGAGACTGTCTTGTGAAGTTCTGTCATTTAAAAATAGCTTACCGCAGTACCCTGTTCTTGATTCTCATATATCTGTGCCAAAAATGTACTGCGGGAAGGTAGAATGATGAATGGCTGTTCCAGTCCAGTATATTCATTAGGGTATCAAGCTTTAATCAAATTGCCATCTGGTTCAGATGCCTGTAGATTGTTTGTAGGACTGTGCAAGAGCTACTGTCAGGCTTGCAAACCTGGCAGGACTGTCTGAAGGCACATACAATATGAACTAGCAAGGCCATGTGGAGGTTATGCTGATAGTCACTGCAGTCACTCAACTGGTGGCTACTGCATGTAAAAACCAGGTATGGGGAAGGTGGCTCCTAAAGGTGGTTGCCGTGATTCATCCTCTACAATTAATCTTAATCCCTATGAGCATTGCGGATGACCCCTCCTGGAAGGATCCCTTCCAGAACAATGTTAAATGCTACCCCCATTAAGCATGGACTGCCTAATTCTGAGATTCAAGCTGCTCTACAATACTCTTGCTCATCTGAGCCAGTCAGCACAGGATGACCAATTAGTTCAGGATGTGCCTGTGAGAGGTCTTGCTCGTTATGTGCTGTTGTATGTGACCTTATCAAGATCCTTTGTGCCTCAGATGCTGGAAATGTGCCGCTTTACAAGTGCTGAACCTTTGCAAGTCTGTTATCCCACTGCTTAGGACATCAGTCTTGGAAAATCTAAGCTGATGGACTTGGCTCTGCACTCAAGTCACTGTGTGGGTCCTGGTCCACCCTCTTGGGACCTGATGACCAGTGAACTCCTTTCTTGTTCCTCCAGGCAGATAATGACTGGATCAATTGCTCTACCCTCTCCAGCTGGAAAATCCCTGGTTGAAATTCAGATCAGCCATTAACAGATGAAGTAAAGCTCAGGGGTGGGCCACTTCAGCAGGTCTAGTAGGGACAATTCTTCCTGCTGCCGCCAGAATTTTTGTTGCTGTGGGATCAGTTTTGCATGGCTGTACCAAAAACAGCGATTTTCCTTTAAACCTAAGGAGCACAATTTTGCCTGAAAACAAACTGTGTGATCTCCTTTGGAAAAAAGCAACATGGCTCCTTCTTTGCTGCTGCTACAATGCTGTGGTGGGCCAGTGGAGGGCATAACTGTGGATCATATATTGCTTGGTCTTGGTCAAGTCATAGCCATGTTCAGACAGTTTGTTTATTTAAGGTTTTTATAGACTGTTCTCTCGGCACATGCTCTCCGAATGGCTTATAGAAGTTTAACAAATATTAAAACAACATAACACGACTATCGCTGAAATCCATATCCAAATAATCACCAAAGCACAAGGGAATTATGACCATGAATGAAAAAAAATAAAGTAATAAGTGACATATTAAACCACAGCAACCAATTTAGATAAAAACCAATATAAAATCATGACCACTAATCAATTAAAATGACGGGAGAATAAAAGGTGCTGAAGTGTATAAACTGGTGCTGAAATGTATAAACTGTTGGTCTCAGGTGCACCTCCTTAAAGACCTGGTTCCAGAAACAGGGAGCCACTACTAAAAAGACACTTCCCCTCTAAGCTGCCTTCCTTGCTTCCTTTAAAGATGGCTCTTGAAGAGAGCTTCCATTGGTGATCTTAGGGTCCAGGTAGGTGTCTATGGAAGGAAGCATTCCTTAAGCTGTCCAGGATCTAAACCATTTAGGGCTTTATACATTCATATGAGCACCTTGAAGTGAGCCCAGATGTCAACTGGTAGCCAGTGCACGTGATAAAGAACAGGGCTTATATGCTTGCATCAGCGCATCCCAGTCAACGGATGAGCTGTCCTGTTCTTTATCAACTGAATTTTCCAGAATGTTTTCAAGAGCAGCCCCATGTAAAGCACATCACAGTAATCTAGAAGTGAGGTTACCAGTGCATGGATTACCATTGCTAGGTGCTTCCTGTTCAGCTAGGGATGCAGCTGATATAACAGCTGCAGTTGATGAAAGATGCTGCTGGCCACGAACACCTGGCATTCCAGGAACAACTTTGGATCCAGGAGCAGTTACGTTTCAATGTAATCAGCTGAAATAAAAAATGAGCACATACAGACCCTTAGCATAAAATTCATTTTGATGACAAAATTAGCCCTAGTTTCCTATGTCATCCAGACCTGGAGATTAACGTTACCAGTTTCAGAACTGGCTAGGATATGAAACTTCCTATAATGTCAAGGTTTCATTTAAATCAAGTCACTTTCTTTCAGACTGACTCTATCATCTTTAACATGGGGGTAATACCTCATAGGTTAAAAAGAACATTTAGTCAATGTAATGTAATGTAATGTAATGTAATGTAATGTAAACAGATACAAAAAAATTATTTCCTCAGATTCATCGAGGGGTAAAAGGATTTGTAAGGGATCTTCAGGGTAACCCTATTGCTAATGCCACCATTTCTGTGGAGGGGATAGACCATGATATTACATCTGGTAAGTAATATGCAATACATTTAAAAATATGTAGTTCATATGTAATACGTTTAAACAGATGATGGAGGGTGCTGTTCGTGAAAAGTCAGATTAGTGTCAGCCCCTGCTAATGGGAAGAGAGGAGAGGATATTCACAGATGCCCCATTTCCCATTATCCCCTTCACAACTTTCCATGCTTTTCCAGAGGGCCTTGTAGTCCTTCAGAGTAGATTTGGGGAGGTATCAATTGCCCTGCCTGTTTCTGTTAGTGGAGCTCTCTTGCTGGATCAAAGGACCTTCTAGAAATAATGCAGTGCAATGCAACATGTGTGTCAGTAACAGAATTAAACTGTGAAGTTGCAGTTTTGTTTCCCCAAGTGTCAATAAGTAAACAGAGAACTTTGACTTACCAGATATTAACTCTACCAGTGATAGTCCACAATTACCATTTATTGGATTGCTTGACATTTTCTCATTTTCTTTAACTTAAAGGAGGGAGAAGAAGAGAGGGAGAGAAGGTGGGGAAGGGGGCCACAATAGAATTGTATAAAATTGTGCATGCTGTGGAGAAAGTGTACTCCTCTTTTGTAAGGTTGTAACCCAGTGTGATCATCCCATGATGCTGAATAGTGAGAGATTCAGGACATATAAAAGGAAGTACTTCTTCACACAGCACATAGTTAAATTTGATACCATAAGGTGTCGTAAAGGCCACCAAATAAGATGGATTTTAAAAAGAATTAAACAAATTCATGGTGTATCCATGGCTACTGGTTATGATGGCTATGTGTTGCCTCTGGTATCATATGAATTTTTTCTTGAGATTGCACACTGGCCTTCTCTAGCTTCCATCAGTAACTCCATAGTGCAAATAGGAGTTTTTGGTTGTCTTAATAAAACTTGACTCTTTGCATGTACCAAAGACGATTTCATAGATAATGAAATCGTTCCAATAGGGCTTTGTTCCAAGCCCTACTGCATCTTCCAAGGAAATTTTGTTTTTCTGAAGGTAATTTTACTGTTTAGAGTTTGACGTATGTGTTGATATTTTTAAAATTATTTGGTCACAGATACCCTCATTCCAGTTTTAAAATTAGAATTTCATTTCACCAGACTGTATGCAAACATACAGTTCTTTACTCCCTGTAGAATACAGTCAGCAAATAGGTTTGGAGGATCCCTTGTTTTGGTAGAGAGGCTGTTTTCATACATTTATACATGTTTTCTTAGAAGTATGTCCCAGTCTAAGCAGTGGGACTACTTGCAAATAAGAACACGTTGAATTTCTGCCTTAATTTGATTCTCCCTTACTAACAAGTCATTTATACCATGAATAGCTTTGAGGCAAGTTGGATTTTGCAAAATAGGATTAACCTGATTATACTTCTATAGCACAAGCCTGCCTTAAAACAGGACAGGAGATGGAATAGGTTTCTGACTCCCACTTACATAATAATAGTAACAATAAGAGGGTTCCCCCCTCCTTTCCCAAATTAGCCTGTTGTAATCACTGATCTGTCCTAACTCAGATGACTTGTTTTTGTATAAACAGCACATTCCACTGCATGAGTTCTGGTGTTCAATAAATAATTATCTTCAGCCCTTAAAGCACAATCTTGCAACTAGTTTATCCCCAGAGGCTGTTTTTTGCACCTGGCTCCAAATGGAGAACCTACTAACAACTAGAGTAGATTATGCTTGACTGAAGACTTCCTGTACCAGCTCTGCAATGTTTGAAAGACTGTTATACGCTGTTTTTCTTTAGCCAAGGATGGTGATTATTGGCGATTGCTTGTCCCTGGAAATTATAAAGTCACAGCCTCAGCACCAGGTTATCTAGCAATAACTAAAAAAGTGGCAGTTCCCTTCAGTCCTGCTGTCAAGGTAAGTACTTGTACATTGCCTTAAAATACACACCAGTGTTTTTATGTTAAATATGTTTTGTGTAATGCAGAATTTTTCTTTGTAGAAAAATTCACCAGCATTCTGTGTGATGCTGCTTGACTTTGAAAGCCTTTTAATGTTCTTGAAGTGGTTGGTCTGAGCATCACATAGAAGGAGGGCTGTAGCTCTGTCCGTTGCATAGAAGAGGTCTCAAGTTCATTTCTTCACGTGTTCACTGAAAAGGATCTTAGGCAACAAGGCAGCAAGACCTCTGTCAGAATTCTTGGAGAACTGCTGCCAGTCCAAATGAGCAATTATAAACTATATGGAGAGCCAGTGTGGTATGGTGATTAGAGAATTTGAGTGGGACTCCAGAGATCCATATTCTAGTCCCCACCTGGCCATGAAGCTCATGGGGTAACTTAGGGCCAGTCACTGTCTCTCAGTCCATAGGGTCGTTGTGAGGATAAAATGGAGCTGAAGAGGACCATGTGAACCACTCTGGGTTCTTTTCAAGAGGAAAAAAGGTGGGATCTAAATGTAGCAGCATTGTAATAGTAGTAAAAAATAATATGATGGACCAAAGGTCTAATTCAGTACAAGGCAGCTTTATATATTCAATATACAAAGCGCCTACTTTATTTTTTAATTTATTTAATTTATGTTATGTCTATACCACCCAACAGCAAAAGCTTTCTGGTTCACAGCAATTAATCAAATATAACAAAACCATTCTAAAAATTAAGGGAATCACAATTATCTACCATAGGGACAACACCCAGCCGTTAAAACAATTCTAGGCTTTCAAAGTGGTTTAATAGAGGGTTCCTTGATAGTCTCCCATTCAGGTAACAACTAGGACCACATTTGCTTAGTTTCAGATGATGCCCTAGGATTTTACTTGAATGCCACCTTGGAAAAATGTTATGCATGTTGCATGAGATAAAATGTGACTAGATTTCAGTTGGTAGTCCCTTAATTTTGTTTCTGTTTGCTCTGATCACAAAACACTGAACTGTAGTTTCAAGGTCAAACTTGAATTGCTAACTCATTTGGTTCTGTGGAAGCAGTCCCACTGTGTGAACCAAGTCAATGTGAGAAAGCATCCTTATGATACAGTCCTGTGTATATTTGTTCAGAAGTAGGTCTTGCTGTGCTCAGTTGGGCTTATGCACACATAAGTAAACATACACTGTAGTTCTGATCATTTTATTGGAAAAACCCTTAATTGGGTTGTATGCAGATTTATTCATACTTAGAATAGTAGATCAACTGAAATCAGTGGAACTTCAATTAGTGGAAGTTCACACTCATTTCAATGGGTCTTTTCTAAGTGTGATCAAGTTTGGTTCCAGCCTGGCTTCAATATTCCAAATCTAATGATTTCAAGATGTCAGTTTAGCTGGAAATCCGATGTATTCAAAAGTCTTTTTTTTGTCTAATTGTTTTTCTTGCCTAGGTTGATTTTGATCTGGAGTCATTGTCTGAAAGAAAAGAAGAGGAGAAGGAAGAGTTAATGGAGTGGTGGAAGATGATGTCAGAAACTTTAAATTTTTAAGCAGAAGCTCTGAATTTACAGCTTTTAATCTATTATGTGTTGACTTAGTATGATGTAATGTGGGAAGTCCCTATATTTTAGATTTTGTGTAGCTTGCAATATTTAACTTCAGTTGTTTTGAATCTTTTTTTTTAAAAAAACCAATAATCTACATTATATTAAAACCAATTACTAGGTGCTTTCCCATCATCATTCACTACATATACATGGGGAAAGAATATCTGAATGAATGTAACATCCTCCTAACTCAGATACGAATGTGTGTTTTTCACTTACAAATCCTGTATTGTGTAGGTTAAGCACATTTAAAATAACCCTAGAGTAATTAGCAGTCCCTTGCTGCTGCTGTTGCCGCCACAAATATTTGCAAATACAGATGATACTCTCTCATTTCTTTTAAGATAATAGCACTGAAACTGTAAGAATTTGATGTTGTAAGTAATGCTTTACTACAATTAAAATTTGTGTCTCTGGAAGAGCCATGCAAAATGCAAATCAGAAGTACTTGGGTTTCATCTACTTACATGGAAATAACTTTCATCATTCTTAGTTGAAAGCTCAGAGGAAATAAAACATTTCTCCTTGTTCTGACCAGTGATGTTCCCAAGTAACTTGGCAATCAGATTAAACATTCTCAGTGGATAAAGAATTGCCATCTAGTGAGTGCATGCCATCTAGGTTTCTTGTGCTTGCAGTGTATTCTTTCTACTATCCTGTTTGTCAGCAGTTGTGTGTGTATTTAGTAAACATGAGTTGCATGAGAAGCTTTCGGTCTAATTTGCAAAAAGAAAAAAATTGTTTACCCCAAAACTAGTTCAACCCACTGTATCTTTAATAAGGGACTAGAAATTCAAGGTGTGCTCTACATTCCTAAAATTCCAATTTGACATAACTCTTCTCAGAAACAAGTGGCACTGAATACAGTGAGACTTTCTTCCCGGTCACTGAATATGGCTTTTCAAAGTGGCTTGAAGACATGCTGAAAATAATGTTTTAGCTTGACACTAAAGATTTCACCCAAATGAGTTTCCAGAAGATGAGGATTATGCAGGTCAGCACTTGCAGTTTAGGAGGGCGATCCTTTTTGCAATCAGTGCTGGTCTGTACAGGTTTAGCAGGTTCAGTACAAGTTGCAAAGCTCATATTTTACCAACACAAAATCGTAGGCCAATATCTCTGTAACAGCAAGCATCTCTGTTTTTGGTGTTGTATTTCCTAGTAGTACTGTTGTTGCTTCTTAGTCACAGCAAGAAGCACCCTTCCTCAACTAATATTGTTGTTAGTTAGCACAGCAGCTACAATAATACCAAAGCTTTAGATTACATTTCAAATCCTATGTAACTACTTCCTGTCTGGAGAGATAATTGGGAATAACCTCAAGAGTGGGTATGACTGGGCATTTGCTATGGACCCACTGAGAAGTTGCTCCTCCTCTTTACTGTGGTGGCTTGTTGGGTCACCTGCTGCTTGCCCAGATGCTTTCACTGGTGAGAAGGCGGAACAGTAAGTACCAAGGAGGAGAAGGAGCAATAGCAGTTGGTGATGATGGTGTTAAGGGGAGATTCACCGAGGACATCTTGATCAAAGGTCCTCAAAAGCCTGGAGCTGGCGCTAGTGATAGTAAGGGTTAAGCTGAATTTCATTTTTAAAAAATCCTTTATTTTAATATAGAAGCACAGTTTGGGAGTCAAAAGGCCATTTTACTCTCTGAACACATGCCTTTAGTGATCCATGCCTTTAGTGATCCATCATAAATACTTGTGTACATACTTTGCATCACACTGTAAAATAGCCTAAAGATGAAAATACATTAGCCACATTTTAATGCTGAAGCTAAAGTTACTGTGTTGAAGCAGAGCTGGTAAGGTATGAGATCATATCCTGACATTTATTAGAAAAAATTCTAGCAGTTCCTGAGTAGCCATGAGGAGGGATCGCCATTTAAAGTCATTGAATGCAATGATGCATTTTCCCAGTGTGAATTGACCCTGGAAATGGAAGCTTCGAATAAAGTGGGACTGAACAGTTTGTCATCCGCCAGCTTTTGGCCTAAAATTCCCTTCAGTGACAGTACAGCCAATGATGGATATAATGGGAGATGTGATCCTTCAGATGTCTCAGCCCAAACTGCTCACACTTGATGTGGTATAACTCCTGTCTTACATCCAGTTTCACTGTACAGTTAATTATGTGGGAAATGCTAGCACAGATATTACCTCCTGCTGTATTCCAAAATGCATTTCTAATTTAACTTGTAGCTTGTGTATATCCTTACCTCCTGTTCATACTGAGGCAATGAAACAGAACTGTCTCATAAAAAGCCTCTTTGTTTTTCCTGGTTCTAAAGTCCACTGAAAGATTTTGAAACAATTGACCACTATTGCAATCCAAGAAACCGCAGAGGATATAGTAAGTAGCTCAGGTTAAGCATACACTTTGAATGCAGTAGGTTCCAGGTTCAGTTCTGACTCCAATATCTCCTTTTCAGGGGTGAGGAACATGCAGCTATCCAGATATTGCTGGACTAAGGGAAGAATGAGACTTTCACTTTTGTTCACAAAATGTGAGCATGCCTTGCGGGAAGCTCCAAACATGAGCATCATCTTGTGCCCACAGAAAATCTCAAATCATTGAACGTGTGTGCATGTTTGTCTCGTTCCTGATTACAAGTTGGATTTGTGCAGCTACCCTCACTAGATAAATTTCTGTAAATGAAGACTTTCCTCTATAGGGAAAATTTGTGCAGATTTCAGAAAAATCGTGCAAAAAGATCATTTGACCACTGCTCAGTTTGTGCAAAGCTTCCATCTGCACAAATCAACAGTTTCAAACATGAACAAGAATGAGAAGTGAGTCAGAGGATTCTAGCACTCTCAAACATGGCTTATTTGCATGTCATTGTGTTGAACTGCAATTCTAATCATCCTTCACCATTGGCAATGCTAGCTAGATCTTACAGGAGTTGCAGTTCAACAGAATCCAGAGGGCTCCATTGTCCCTGCATTTAATGGATACTGGGCAGCAGGGTTTGGAATGACCTTGCTCTGTGTGCAGCATTGGACAAGATGTACCAAAACTCCTGATTAAAGCAGCTTTCCATGTTCTAAGTAAAAAAAATAAAAATAAAAATCAACAAACCACGTCATCAGGTCTTTCAATTTAAAAATTAAATTACATGTTGAAAATGTGCAGTGCCTTAAAACAGCTTTTGGTACAAGTTTTTGAGTATCATGTGGAGCTAAGGTATTAAAAAACAGCTTATACAAGAAAAAGGTCTAGTTAAACTGTAAGGCAAGTGACTAATTTGAAACAATGCTTTGCACACACATTTCTCAGTAAGTAGGTTGGGCCCATCATATCTAAAAACTTGTTTTTCTTCACCATATTTTAAGATCAACCCACAGTGCCTAGTTGGGTATACCATCTTTTACATCAAGACCCTATCACAAGGGTGAGAAGAAATCCTCATTTAGTGGATGCTCATCAGAACCTCTGCCATCAAAGCAAGCCTATCTTATCTCTCTTTAAAAAATACTTCTATCAAAGGACAAAACAACCTGACACTAGATTGGAAGTTGCATTGGCAGAAAGTCAGTCTGTGCTAGCCAGAGTAGAGGGTTGGATCCTTCAGCTATTACTACACAAGAAAAGGATATTATAATTCTTAACCCAGTATGCCACTGCCAACAAAAATACAAACATTTGGATTCTAAAAAGCCATGATTTTATAAGTGTGGGTTAGGAACCTTTTGCAAATAGCTTGTAAATACATCTGGGATTAATCAAAAGAACAGAACATGTAATTGATTTTAAATCTCATTCTTTATCCTAGCCAGGATAGTCCATGAGATGGAAAGATGTACTTACACCCCCTGGTTTCAGCAAGCTATCTTTTCAGCTTCAGTTTGCCAAATGTAAAATGGGAGTAATTATATTCATTTTAATAGGAATTGTTTCAATGATGACAGATAAAGTTATATCGCTTTGTGCTGCACAATTAAAATGCTATATTTCATAACAAGACTTCAGTCTGCATCCCATTTACTCTGGAATGGTCCTGTTAAAGGCCTTGTGGTAATTCCAACCCAAATAACGTGTAGATTACTCTACAAATCATTTCATGTGCAGTTATGCCAATTTTTTTCTCCTACTAAACAAAAAGCTTTTGCCCTGATCCAATGCTATTTGCACTTTAAAAAGATCTTTTCAAAGCCACAGTTTAAGAAGGATGTAGACAAATTGGAACAGGTTCTAAGGAGGGCAATAAAGACTTGCATGAGTATAGAAAACTAGCTCTATGAGGAAAGGTTGAAAGAACTGGGTATATTTAAGGCAAGGGAAAGCAGACGAAATTGAGGAGAGATAGTTCTCAAATATCAGGAGGACTGTTATACAGAAGGGACTAAAACATTTGTTCTCTACTGCCCCAAAGGGAAGGGCTAGGTGGGATTCACTTCAACTGAACAAGAAATGTTTTAATGGCACCAGACAATGGAACTAGTTACATGAAGGAGGAGGGCGTTTCACCATGGAAGTCTTCAGGCAGAGGCCAAGAATGCTGTAGCTTGATTTCCTGCATCAAATGGAACCATAGACTAGAAACAAGATGCTACCTTAAACTGAGGTGGACCCTTTGTCTACCACTAGTGTCAACACTGACTGGCAATGGCTCTCCAGGATTTCAGGCAGAATTAATTCCTTGCCCCACCTGGAGATGCTGAGCATTGAACCTGAAACCTCCTGCATATCAACATACCCTCTGCCACTGATTTATGGATGCTTCCCAAGACCTTACCCTCTAATTATGCTTGACTAATTGTGCCAGTGTGTGGATGGGCATGCACGTTTGAATGCATGCCCCATTGAAAACAATGTCGTATGAACTTGTAGCACCAGAGGTGCATTCTGAAGTGGATTTGGTGGACCATTCAGTTTACTCTTGTAGTTCCTGATGCTAAATGCAGAAGCCTGTTTCTGTGCTCGGATGCCTACAGGTTGGGCCTGTTCAGCTGGATTGTGGCCACTGCAAATGATCTTGAAATAAATATAACTGTGAAATTATCTCACCTCAGTTTTTTGAATCAGAACGGGGGCTATGAACCTGAAAGAAACAGGGCAGAATCTTATGTCTGTTTAGACAGAAGAAGTTCTACAGCTTCCAGCATTCCCTGGCTAGTGCCTTAATGTAACATGGTTGAAAATCAATTTAGGTCATCTAACTGCTGCAGATTAAATTTGGCAGATTACAACTGTGCCTAGCATCCTTCCCCAAAAATCATGAGTGGGCAGTTTTTGCAAGCAAGGTGGGGGTGTCAGAATGCTTTTGGCTTGCCCTTCATGAAACAACTCAGGGCTGGAACGCATACTTTGCATGCATTTGGTAAGATTTCTAGTTAAAAAGATTTGCTGGCTCAGGTAGCAGATGGCGAGAAAGAACTTTTCCAGAACCGCCAGAGACTTAGCCTGTAGACAATGCCAGGCTAAGATGGTAGTAAGTTGATCTGGTTGCGTGCCATGCCATTACTCACAGAAACCACTTGTGTAAGCAGCCATTTGTAAAAAGAAGTGGACAGTATCCAAAGTGACACATGAAAGTCACCAAACACTGTCCTTTAGATATTGGTTTGCACATGAAAAAGTTAAAATATAGGTCCAACTCAAACATTGACTCCCAAAAAACAGTGGCATCAGTTCATCAAAAATCAAAGAAGGACAGCCGCTCAGTGTTGTGAGGCAGTCAGC